TCTGTGGGGCGGGACCGAGGGAGCTCTGTGGGGCGGGACCCGGAGCTCCGTGGGTTCCGTGGGGCGGAACCGGGAGCCCTGTGGGGCGGAACCGGGAGCTCCGTGGGGTGGGACCAGGAACTCCATGGGGCGGGACCGGGGCTGGCTCCGTGGGGCGGGACCGGGGTCTGTCCGTGGGGCGGGACCGGGGGCTCCGGGAGGGCGGGGCCCCGCGGCGGCAAAAGGGGCGGGGCCTAAGAGCGCGGAGGAACGCGCGCGGCTTGGCGAAGTCTCGCGAGATCTCTGTGAGGGGAGCAGCGGCCGGCGGCCGTGGCGGAGGTTCCCGCCCGGGGGGCTCCGGCTGTGCGGACCGAACGTTAATTAAATCATCGCTAATTAGCGCCCCAGCAGCGGGCAGCAGCCCCTCAGCCCCGCCTGCTCTGCTCACCCCATCCATGCCCGATGCCAGGCGCCGGGACCCCCGAGGCTCCTCATGAGGGGCCGCGAGCAGCCGCGGCTGGCGGCAGCGGCGGCGCCCTTTGCCCGGTCCCGGACGGGTGGATGGGGCCATAAACAGGGAGCAGCCGCCGCCTGCTCGGGCAGAGGCCGTGGCGGGGCCGATAAGGGGCCGTGGCCTTGTCCCCTGGGCCGCACGGAGCCTTCGTCAGCGCCGTGCCCTCCGTGCGCCCGGAGCCGCGCTCACCGCGGGGCCGCGCCTGCTGCGTGCTGCTGGTGTCCCTCAGTGCGAGGGGGATGAAGGCTCGGCACAGCGAGGCCGCCCCAGACAGCCACGGAATCTGCGTGGGGATGGATTTTAAACACATCCCATTCCACCCCTGCCATGGCAGGGACATCTTCCACCGTCCCAGGCTGCTCCAAGCTGGCCTTGGGCACTGCCAGGGATCCAGGGGCAGCCACAGCTGCTCTGGGCACCTGTGCCAGGGCCTGCCAGAGAACAGTTGCTGCCCAATATCCCATCTATCCCTGCCTCTGGCACTGGGAAGCCATTCCCTGTGTCCTGTCCCTTGTCCAAAGTCCTTCTCCAGTTCCCTTGGAGCAATCCCTTGGGCATTCCAAGTGCTGTTATCCCCATTCCCATGCCCTGGGTGCTGTTATCCCCCATTCCCAGTGCTGTTATCCCCCATTCCCACTGCCATGATCCGATCCCCCATTCCCAGTGCCATGATCCCCCATTCCCAGTGCCATGATCCCCCAATCCCAGTGCTGTTATTCCCAACCCCAGTGCTGTTATTCCCATTCCCAGTGCCGTTATCCCTGTTCCCGTTCCCCCCTCAGGTCCTCCTTGTGCCCTCCCTATTATCCCCATTTCCATTCCCAATATCCCATCCATCCCTGCCCTCTGTCCATGGGAAGGCATTCCCTGTGTCCTGTCCCTCCATCCCTTGTCAATGGTCTTTCTCCAGGGAGAGCCAGAGGGCACCAAGTTTTTTTTTGATAAGCCATAAGAGGTAGAGCCCAAGCAAACATCCCCGGATATTGCACACATCGAATGTGATTAATCCCCAGACGTCTGAAAAAAGGGAAACTGTCCCCAAAAGTGGGTGAAGGTTCATGGACAATTATAGCACCTGGACTTCGCCCGGCAGCCCCGGCCCCTCCTGCCCCGCTTGGCAGAGGAGCACAACAACATTTGGCTAATGAGTTACGGGTCCAGCCCCGGGGTGGCCCTGCCATCTCACTCTGACAGCCCCAATCAGGGCTGGGACATTTTGCAATCTGGGATATTATTTCTGTGCAGTTGGAGTTTAAACTTTGCCATTCGGGCCAGGGAATCACAAAGGAGGAGGAAGAGGAGGAGGGTGAAGGCCGGGCTTGTTGTCTACCGCGCTCCCCTGTGCTCAGAGAGGGTTGAGAGGACAATCTATGGCATCTCCCTCAGGTATGTCCCGGCTGTCACCACTCAACAAGACCCCATGGGGCCATCAGGATTCTCTGAGAGGACTCAGAGTGAAGGACAGGGTGCAATAAAGCCCCGTGTCCACCTTGGCCAGACAAATGTCAAGCAGTGACAGCTGTCCCCAGCTGGTTTGGAGGACACTTGAGTCAGTTGGGTGGCTGGTGGGTTGGTTGGTTGGTCAAGCAGGCAGAGTTGACTGGTCAATGCATTGGTCAGTGGGCTGGTCATTTGGGCAGTCCATCCATTGGTCACTTGGCCAACAGGTTGACCATTCGGTCTGTCTCTTGATCACTTCATTGACTGACTGGTCAACCGGTTGGTCAGTGGATCAGCTGGTTGGGTAGCTGGGATGTCAGTTGGCTGATTGGCCAGTTGGGCTAGTGGTCAGCTGGCCCAGTGGCTCTGAGCCCAGGGTCTAGCAGTGAGGGACTGAGTCCCCTCCCTGGGGTGACTGGTGGCCACAGTCCCCTGCCCTCCACTTGCCACCCAGAATGATTAACCAGCCCTTCCAGCACGGTCACCTCCAGGAGGGAACCCCCTGGCTGGGCAGCTCTGGGTGGAAAATTGGAGGATTTGGGAACTTCAGCTGCTGGAAGGAGCGGGGGACACTGCCATGCCTGGAGTCCCCACATCCTGTCCACCTGTAGGGCTTTTCCAGGTGAATCCCAACATGCCCCTGCCCCCTCCCAGCTGCCCCACGACTCGAGGTGTCCCTGGGGCCCTGCAGCTCACGTGGGGGTGGCTCTGGGGGGTACCACGGGGCCTGGGCTGGACAATGACCCTGCCACCCCACAGCCATGGCCTCCAGCGCGGGCAGCCTCGAGAGCCTGGACCTGCTGGATCTCCTCTTCGACCTCCAGGACGGGATCCTGCGTGAGGTGGAGCTGGGCTCGCCGCCGGGAGCCTGGCCCCAGGACAGGGTGAGCCGGGCCCGGACCCCGCCCCGCCTCGGCCCTGCTGGGTGACAGCCCTGGGATGTCACAGCCCGGGGGATGGGTGCTCCCGGTGACGGTGCCGTGTCCCCACAGCGTGCCCCGGACAGCAAGGACTTCCTGAGCTCCGTCCTGGGCTCCGGGGACTCGGTGTCGGACTCGCCCAGCTGGTCCCCGGCCACCAGTGACAGCGGGGTGTCCGAGGACCCCCCCTCTGACCAGCATGACAGCCCCCCCCGGAGCTGTGATGGGGGTCCCCAAGAGGTCCTGTACCCCTACACCGACCCCTGCCAGGCCCAGCCCCTCCCGGCGGGGTCTGGGGTCCTGCAGCCTGAGGTCTCCATCGACCTGGGTGAGCCACACTGGGAAAGGACCAGGCTGGGGGCACTGGAGGGACTGGGGACACTGGGGAGCTGAGAGCAGTGGGGGAGGTGGGGGACTGTGAGGAAATTAAGGAGGCTGGGAGAAACTGGAAAGAACTGGGAGGTCTGGTGGGCTAGGGAGGAGATGGGGAGAGTGTGGAGAGCTTGGGAACTGGGGTGAACTGGGCAGGTGAACCAGTCGGTGTTGGGGGGGGACTAGGGCAGGACCAGAGGGACAGTTTGGGGGGACAGAGTCAGGGGCATGGGTTGGGCAGCAAGTCACCCTGGTTCTGGAGCCATGGCAGGAGGAGGGTCCTGCAGTGGGGACACTGGGGACAGTGGGGACACAGCACTGTTGACAGCTCTGCTCTGCCCTCACTCAGACATGTGGCACCCCGGGTTCTTCCTGGAGGAGAGCCAGGACCTGCCTGTGGTCCCCCCACCTGCATCCTGTGCCCTCACTGTCAAGGACCTGCTGCTCTCTGGCAGCTCTGACAATGTGAGTCCCTGTCTCTGTGTCCCCAACACTCCCTGTCCCCAGCCCTGTCCCTCCCTGGACCCTGATCATCCCCCATTCCCATCCCCATCCCTCCCCATCCCCACACTTGTTCCCTTCCCCTTCCTGGTCCTTGTCTACAATCCCTGTCCCTTCCCGGCCCAAGGCACCTTCACCGTGGTCCCAGCCAGGGTCCTTGGGGCCAGGTGGGAGCTGACCCCCACCCAAAGGTGTCACCATTCCATGTTCCCGCAGCAGCCACAGGCTCCTGGCTCCCTGCTCCGGCCGAGCCAGGGCCACTTCCAGGAGCTGGTGCTGACGGAGGACGAGAAGAAGCTGCTGTTGAAGGAGGGGGTGACCCTGCCCACGCAGCTGCCCCTCACCAAGGTGGGTGCCAGGACACCTGGGAAGGTGTGGGGTGGGGGTCCCAGCCCTGGTGGCCCTGACCCCCCGTGTCTCCCCAGTACGAGGAACGGGTGCTGAAGAAGATCCGGAGGAAGATCCGGAACAAGCAGTCGGCTCAGGAGAGCCGCAAGAAGAAGAAGGAATACATCGATGGGCTGGAGAGCAGGTACAGAGCCCAGCCCCTCACCTGGGCACGCTGACACACCAAACCCCAGGGTGGCACCCTGGGCACTCTGCTCCTTGCCAGCCCCCCCAGCTGTCCCCTGACCCATGCTGCTCTCCCTGGCCCAGGATGTCAGCATGCACGGCCCAGAACCAGGAGCTGCAGAGGAAAGTCCTGCACCTGGAGAAGCAGAACTCGTAGGTGTTCCCGGCGCGGGATGGGGACAAGGTGGGGTGGGAAATGTTGGCAGGGAAGCTCATGGGCTCTCCCTGTTCCCAGATCTCTCCTGGAGCAGCTGAAGAAGCTCCAGGCCATGGTGGTTCAGTCAAGCAACAAGGCAGCACAGACAGGGACCTGCCTGGCGGTGCGTGGGGCCTCCAAACCCTGGGAGCCATGGAAATGGGCTGGGAGGGAGGGACGGATGGATGGATGGATGGATGGATGATGGATGGATGGATGATGGATGGATGGATGGATGATGGATGGATGGATGGATGATGGATGGATGGATGGATGGATGGATGGAGGTGCACTGGTAGGACATGAAGCAAAAGGGAGGGATGGAGGAATAGATGCACTCCTGGGTCTGCCACGAGCTGTGACCCAGCTCCTGGTTCCTCTCCTCTGCTGTGCTCAGTGATGTCCTCTCTGTCCCCAGGTCCTGCTGCTCTCCTTCACCCTCATTGTCTTCCCCTCCATCAGCCCCTTCGCCTCCAGCAAGGCCGAGGCAAATGGTGACTTCAGGCCAGTACGAGGTGAGGGCTGAGCTGGGGCTGAGCTGGGGCTGTGCTGAGCTGTGCCAGGCTGTGCTGAGCTGTGCCAGGGCTATGCTGAGCTGTGCCAGGCTGTGCTGAGCTGTGCCAGGGCTGTGCTGAGCTGTGCCAGGCTGTGCTGAGCTGTGCCAGGGCTGTGACAGACCCTCAGGGCCCTGGCCCAGGCCCTGACCCTCGGTGGGGCTCAGTTTTCTCCAGGTCCCTGCACAACGCCGCCGCCTCCCGCGTGGTTCACACCCAGCCCCAGGCCGGGGATGAGAAGCCCCCGGAGCCGCTGTGGTCGGAGCCCCTGCAGGAGACCCCCGAGACCCTGCACGAGGCTTTGCAGAGCACATTCCCAGCACTCCCAGACAAAGGGTCCCTCCAGAATGACACCTCGGCCACCGAGGGGCTGAGCCACGAGGACGGGGACCAGGCCGACGCTGTGCCAGGGGGTGGCTCTGCGCCACACCCGGCGCTGGCATCCCTGGCGTGGTCCGAGCCGGGGCACGGCCGGCCCGCGGTGCTGGAGCCAGCGGAGGAGCTTTAGGCAGAGCAGGAGCACGGGGGTGCCATGGGGTGACAGCACCTCATCCCTACGGGACACGCCCTCGGGGGGACCCCTCCGGGATCTGCCTCCGGATGCTGGACCTGCTTGGCTTTGCTTGGATTCTGTGAACTGGGAAGAGGAGACCGGTTCCCACTGGCCTTACTGGGAGGGAAGGGGCTGCTCCTGCCCCCCTGGCACAGTGGGAGTTGTGGAAGGGACCTGGGGTCACTCAGGATGGGGCTGAGGAAGCAGGAGGGGCCCTGGCCTGGTTGGCTGCTGATGGTGCATCTTGGCTATGGTTGGTTTTGCTCTTGGTTTTGTTTTGGTTTTAGAATTTTATTTTCATCTCTAAATATAAGATATTTTGGAAAAAATCCACCTGCTGTAGTTTAAGAGGGGGTGATCTACAAGGTTTCAAGGAGCCCTGGGCCAGGGGGACCTCAAGCCCAGCTGCCATGAGGGGCCCGGGAGAGGGGGGACACACGGCCATGCCCAACCTGGAGCTGGGGCCAGGGCACCCTCCCACAGCTCCCAGCCCCCAGTCCAACTGGGATGCAGCCAGCACCAGTCCCCTTCCATGACCAAGTGACATGGAATTACAGAGTCATGGAATGGTTTGGGTTGGAAGGGACCTTAAAGCCACCCAGTGCCACCCCTGCCATGGGCAGGGACACCTTGCTGTGTCCCAGGCTGCTCCAACCTGGCCTTGGACATTTCCAGGGATCCACGGGCAGCCACAGCTGCTCTGGGAATTCCATTCCAGGGCCTCACCACCCTCACAGGGAAGAATTCCTCTATGCAAGGCCCTCCCTAGGCCCGTGGGTGCTCCGCGAGCCACAATTCAAGTATGTTTAATACTGACATAAAAAAAGGGACAATATTTAAGGGTATAAAAAAAAGTCGGTAGGAAAAGCAGCCCAGGTGAGACAGGGACAGTCCAGGTCAGGTGAGGAGAGGCTCCACCTTCATCTTCTTCACCGGCGTTGGCCCCGTGTCCGGGCTGGGACGCTCCTGCTTGAGCCCGTCACGGCGCTCCAGCGGCGCGCTCCCGGCACACGGCGCTGCCGTGCCGTTGTGCTGGCCCTGGGGCTCCTCCTTCAGCCGCCCCTGCAGCTGCTCGCCCTTGGCCAGCTCGGCGCTCTCCACCACCACCGGCCCCGTCCACTCGGGCACCTCCAGCCCCAGGTGCTTCATCAGCTTGGTCATCACCTCGTCGACGTAGCCGTGGATGCGCAGGTCGGCCTGGCGGTCCTGGACAGCAGGGACACGGCTCAGGGGACAAACGGCCCCTCCCAGGGACACGGCGATGTCCCCCGTGTGTCATTCCCAAAGGGACATCAGCTGGCCCTGGGGCTCTGCTGGGGCGTGGGCTGGAGCCACACCTGGGGATGGGGACACAGGGACAGAGCAGGGACAGAGTGTGACGGGCACAAGGGAGCTCTGCTGACATCCCAGGAACCCCCAGCTCTGGGCATTAAAGACTTTGGACAATTGGGGCACCAACATCTGAGCAGGAACCGAGCAGGAACCGAGCATGCCCTCCACGGGTTCCATGTGTGTGGCCCTTCCATTGGGCTGTAAACCCTGGGAGGACACAGCAGGCTCCAGGCTGAGCTTTCACTCTGCTCCTAAGACTAGCTTGGACAGGGCTTGGAGCAGCCTGGGATAGTGGAAGGTGTCCCTGCCCATGGGAGAGGGAATAAGATGAGCTTTAAGGTTCCTTCCAACCCAGCCCTTTCCATGACTCTAATATTTACCTGCCATCTCTACGTGTTTAGCAGGAGTTGCAGGTTTAAACCCTCCAACCCAGGACTCTCAGCCTGTTTGACTGCTAAGAGAGGCCACCTGGGAGGGGACAACGTGCAGGGACAAACTTGAGATGGGCCTGGAACAGGGGACAGCAGGGGAAGGGAGCAGTGCAGAGCTACGGGACGCTCACTCACGTGTTTGGTTGCTTGGAGGTTGACGATGACCAACTTCCCTCCTCTCTTCTTGGTGATCAGTGGAAGGTTCCCGCTGGGTTTGATCTGCAGAGAGGTCCCCAGCGTGATGGAGAGATCAGCTTTCCTGCAGGGAGGAGGAGAAATCCAGAATCAGGGCATGGATGGGTGGGAAGAGGCTGTTCCCCTCCTGAGCAGGTGTCAGTACCTGCAGGCTTCATCTGCCAGCGTCAGGTCACGGTCAGGCAGGGAATCTTCCCAATCCAGAATAGTGTCTCGTAACTTCCCTCTGGAAAACACACACAGGGACCATGGTTTTCCTTGGAAAAGGCAGGAGAACAGGCAGCAGAGCTGCCCTGGCAGAGGGGACAACGACCAGAGCCTGTCCCACCCTCCCTGTCCCCACACTGTGAAGGGGTGGAGAGCACCCAGAGAGATCTTCCTGCACCTTGAGCTGCTTCTCCCACATCTGAGGGGCTGTGGGGTAACCCCCCATCCCACATCCCCGGGGGGATCCCCACCTGCAGGCCCGCAGCCCCCGGGCCTTGGTGACGCTGCAGAGGCGGCCGGTGGGCTTGAGCCCCATGCTGCCCACGACGGCGTCGCGCACGTACTGCCTGCGGAGACACGGAGCGCTCAGCGAGGGGCTGAGTGCCCAGCACGGCCTGGCATGGCCACCCCAGCTTC